ACCCCTCTGCAAGGGGATCTCCAGTGGCCTACTAATGGGCTTTGGGTCTCCACTCCACACTCCCCTTGGGCTATTTTCAAGCAAAGAAAGATATTCTAGAGAAGCGGAGACAATGAACCAGAATCTGTGGTGTCATGCTAGATAGAGTGCGACTTTTGTCAAAGGCTGATAGAATAGTTTGGCAAATTCACATTATATATAGGTGACAGGAGCACCTGTAACCTCTGTCCGTATTTAAAGCTCTGAAAATAGGCCTTTTGATAATGAGCAAACCACCACCCATCTGTCAGTTTGTTGTACTGTGCTGGCTGCAGTGTGGCTATGGTGCTGGAAGCCATGCCACAGCATTTCAAATACCACAGGGGGACCTGTGATGATAGACGCATTTCAGCATCGCTCCCACAGCAAAAGAGACTAGGAGGAAAAGCCTGGTGATTCATTTCCCAAAATTGGCTATTGGAGATCTCAGGGATCACAACGGAATACTGTCCCATTTTGCTCTGGAAGACTGGATGACGAGCCAGCCCCTTGATTGGACAACTCTCCGAGTACACAGTGGCTGCTACTATGGGCTCATACCACTGAACATGAAGCTGGCACGGCTGGGTCGCATGTGTACCTAAGTTATATAGAAGGTCCCCAGCAGCTAGTGCTGACCCCACAGCAGTCACAGGAATTAGTGCAAGTGAACAAGGTGCTGAGAAGGGCGTCATTACAGTTCTGCTGCAGTAACGGCCTTCTCGCCTCTTCCCTGTTAGATACCCAGAATCTAGACATCCGTCTCCCTCTCCTCCCAGTCCAGACAGCTGACTCAGAAAGACGTGAAAGCAGGTTTACATCATTCTTCATCACAACTTGCAAATCAGCTGTAAGCACACATCCCGCCCACTGCCTGCAACAACCCCGGGTGCACTACCCACACCCTTCTGATTCCAGTGCCTAAGGATCTGGGTCTACCTAGGTCCTTCTTGGAGGGCGAGAGTGGAAAAATTCCCATTTTACAAGTTTTTCTCAACTTCTAGGTTAGATTTTAAAATGCCACCCATGTCCCATTTGCAACATTCTGAAACTCAAATTTAAAAAATATATATTTGAAAAAGCATTCATTGATTTCATTTCTGCCCTCTTTCCCCAAAATCTGCTAATAAGACTCTGAAGAATGTTGTGTAACCATCTCTTAATTTTGTAATTTGTAGGTATTACATAATTGCATGCCAACAAAGAGGCTTTTCCTGTTTACTTTTTACCTTTTTCTTTTTATGCAAAGCTCTGTCATATGCAGATGTTAAGGTGGTGGTGTTCAGCCTTGACAATTATGCTAATGAGGTAAGAGCAATAATTCAGTGTGTAGCCACTAATTTCTCAAAGGGGAAAGAGGCAGAGACCTTGGGTTCCACGTTTGTTTTCGACTAATTATCATATATTTATTTTTCCATTAGTCCAATAATTTTTCTTTCAATTCAGAATTAAGCAATAAGACACTGAATTATATAAAGGCCTGTTTAGCATAGCGGACACACCCCATCACTCCCCAGCCCTCTGATTTACAGCTCTTAAAAGGCACCAGCAAGAGGCTGTCTATATGCCCTTTTGTATTTATATTCCATCATGCAGTCACCTCAATAACTTATGCATTCTCTGAAGGACTACCTACCAATTAACGCTAGTCTCTTCTTCCTCGCAGCCTCATTATGTAAAGTGGATTTTAATGCAAACTTTATTAGTAACTTTCCATTCTAATTCCATCTGATCTCCCCTCCTCCCCAACTTCTGCCCAGGACTGTCAGTTTATATGTGACCAACATAGCAACAATGGTGGCGGAAAACTCCACACTGGACTGGCTGCACATTTAGTAATTGGTCTTTGCACTATGGGGCACCACATAATTCGAGACTGTCCTATTTCAGCTGAAGCATGGGAGGCAATTCTTTATAGAAATGGAAATGAATCCTCCCTGCCACCAACACAGCAGTGTAACTACCTACGTTCAGGAGGAACAAGAAAGTAAGGAAGCTATTATTTTTCCTCAAAAGGCAAAGCAACAACAAAAAGGTCCTTTGTTAGGTAAGGAATTCATGCTATCTTGTCTTCAAACACTAGAGAGAAGAGGGATGTGGATGAGCCATGTACTGAAGAGCTCACATGGGCTTTAGTGTACATGTTCTTGAGGTAAAGAACCAAGTGGGCTGATGAAGCCTCTTACAAAACCGAAGGCCAGAGACCACCCGGTAGATGACATGCTGAATGCATGAACACGGGATATGACATCAGGGAGACTGACTTACCGACATCAGGATCGACGGCTTGAACTCTGGTTAACAGAGCCTTGGTGGCAGTATTCTCAAACACACAGGCGTTATAATGGTCCGAAGAAAAGACTGGGGGATTATCATTCACGTCCTCCAGGATCAGGCGTATGTCGGACTGGCAGAACCTGCCACCTCCATCTGTGGCCCTGGCAATCAGGCTGTACACAGGGACCCGCTCTCGGTCCAGCAGAGCCAACGTTTTTAACTCCCCTATGAAAATCAATGGTAGCATGGTTGGTCAGTTCTGTCCTCTCAGAGTAGAGAGCTATTCTTTGACTTACACATTTCCCACTGACTCTAGACAGGATACATGAGGAGCTAGGGGCAACTGCCATCTACCAAGCAACATGGAGGTAAGGAAAAGATAAGCTAAACAAGCCCCATCACAGCAAGGACCAATAGTTCTCAGCCCTAGACCCCCAGACTTGGGGATGGGGGGGGGCGGGGGGAGACAAAAAAAATCAAATTTTTAGCCACTCAGAAAAAATTCTAAGGTATTTGATGTACCAGCAAATGATCTGCATGCCCCTCGCCCGGGGTGGTGCCTGTGGTATCAGGGCTTCTTTTATGTGCCAACTTAGGGAATTTTGACATGCTTAAACGTCTCAAGGTCTGCTCGGAACAGCTGCTGTCTCTGCATTCCCGGTACATTTTCAGGGGGCAAAAAGTAGAGAGCATGGGCCAGTATCTTATGTTCGCTAATGGGCAGTATCAACACTCCTCTGCAGACCCAGAGGGCAGTCCCTAGGCTTCCAGTTATTCAATAGCTTTTCACTTCATCTTTTCCAGTAAAGCACACAGTCAGAGCAGAGCAAGGGCTGGATGTTAGCGGGGTCTGTCTGTGGCTGTTAGATGAGGGATCAGGCCCATGTGTTGGGATATTGGAGGAGTTTGGGATAGCAGCTATATATCAATCCGTATGAAGATAAGCCTCTATTTTAACCCCTGGAGCATCTGTGCTCATGAACATTAGCTACTGGACATTAGCTTCTGTATGTTGCTTAAGTTTCAACAGACAATGGCAAAGGAGCTTGGTGACAAATCTAAATAAATGCTATTTGGTGAGAAGTAGGGTTCAGGAAACATTACAACTTTTAGATTAAATGAACAGACCTCATTCAGGCCACGCCATCGATATTGTGAAGGCCAACCAGTTCCCCTTTCAGATTGGACTGGATCACTCCTTTCTCTTACTCCCAGGAGTTCTGGTTAACAGAGCTTCTCAGGGAAACCTCTGGGGTGCCCCATTATCTGGTCTCAAGTTATTTTCCCACCGGTTTTCTCACAAGCCATTCTCTAGCTCCTCTCACTAGTGCCAGGGGCTAAACATGCCATTCTTTGGGTGGGCCAAGGCCCTGTGCCCTGTGCGGTCCTGAGTTAGCCGGGAACCCTGTCTTAGTTCAAATGCCAACTCTTTCTTAGCATAGTTTCCTCTTCCCTCTCATCAGAATATTAGCTACTTCTTTCTGTGTGCCCAGACACCTCCACTTATATACGTACACCTCTGCTGGGTACTCTGCCTTTCATTATTAGTATTGTTGATTCACGTGCCCACTAGGCTCCCAGTCCCTTGGGCGTGCTTCGTTTTATTCAGCGCGGAGTCTACCGCACATATCCCTTCGAGTGCTTTTATGTCCACTAGCTAATCAATCCACGTTAGTTATCGAGTAATCACAACCAGGCCCGAGTCCCAGGTAGTCAGGCCAGGGGTTCCCAGTAGGATACAACTGCCATGAGAATGTGGGGAGGGAAGGAGCCACGGCCTCATGTATTGGCTCAGTTGGTTTCTCTTCACTAAGACCGACAGAGTCCTGGAAGTATTCGGTCTTTAGACTTTATTCTAAAATTGATATTGGATGGATACCACAATGAAATAAGTTGCCTCCTCCGAAAATGTCTTTCCTGTTAGCACTGGTCCTCAATGCAGGCATCCCTCTTCCATCTACATAGCCTTTGACCGTGTCAATTTTACCCAAACACATAAGTACATCGGAGGGCCCACAGTTGAGGAGAAAATAGACAGGAATCTTTAACAAAAACCAGAAAATGGTGTTAATAGGAAAGTTCTCTTTTTACGCATTGCTCTCTGGCTTTCATGGAAGCCCACATTTATGCTGCAACTCTGCTTGCAACTTTTATAAGAAAATGCCTTAGCTCACTGATATGACTCCTTGGTAGTAAAAAATGTAGGAAAAGTGAAGGCAAGTTTTAGAACCCAAATCAAATGTGTGTAGTCTCGCGCGTTCCCCTGCTGACACCATGGGTTCTCACTACGTCCTGGAGACAGCCCAACATAGTAGAGTATCCCAATTAGGTTCTAGTGTAGAAACTGCCCACTTGGGAGGAGACTGTGTGAGAGTTTAACATATCTACTGATAAACTATGACATTGACCCAAAGAACAAATTTAATCTTACCACTTTCTGGATCTAGGAAAAATTCATCATTTCCAGATCCATACAGTGAGTATCGGACATCTCCATTAGATCCAATATCGGCATCCTTGGCACTGACTTTCAGGATAATTTTATTTGATGGAATGTCTTCGGGAATTAGTGCTGTATATGCAACCTGAGCAAAGGTAAAACAAAGATGTGTTTAAATAATTAGTACTTGGGAACAGTTGCTTTGATTTCTTTTACAGTGCATTGATGAAATTTAGCTTCTGCTATTCCACCCCACAACCCTATCACCACAGTAAAGAATGCAACGTAGTATATCTGATGCCCTAACTCTCCCATGCCCACTCACTCAACAAGCATTTATTGTGCATCTACTATGGGCGGGATACTGTTACAGGTGCTAAGAGGACACAGGAGATGCATTCCCTGCCCCTGTGAAACCAGTGTGCACAGCATAAGTTGATCATGATCCTCGGTTTTCTTTATTTGCTAAGTCCTAGCAAGGTCCCGGGAATCTGTCAGTTCTTCAGTTATCATCGACATGGAGCAATGGCATGAGATAGTAAATCTCTTTGCCACTTTCGAAGCTCTAGCCAGTTACCCGATTCATTGGGAACGCATGTGCATCAGAGTGCAATGGTGCTCCATACAGTTTCAAGGGCTGGTTTTTCAGATCACCAGGCCTTTCTCCAGAGGCACCTCTGGACTCAAACTTCCAGGCCTAAAGCAACTGTGTGCTAGCCATATGCATCACCCAGGATTTCCTAAGCCGTGTTGCTGTTGCTGTGAGCCACAGCTGACTCTGAACATACAGAATGCTATAGGGTAGCATAGAAATGGTCCCAGGGGGCTTACTAGGCTGTTATCTTTATGGGACTCAAACAAGTCTTTTCTTTCACCAAGTGGCTGCTGAATTCAAATGGCCACCCTTTGGGCTAGCCCCAAGTAATTAACCATTGTGCTACCACGGCTCATTTTCTAAGAGGCGGAACCTCAACTAATGTCTCTGGGTCCATATAGTAACCAAAATGGTCAATTAAGAGTGATTTACTCTGTGTCAGGGCTTAAATTCGGAGCCCCCAGTTTGCAGAAGGCTAAGGGTAACTGAAAGCCCCAGATCCATCTGCAGAGTCCACGTGTGAATTAAGCTTCCACTGCATTCCTTCTGCCCATTAACTAGGGATGGGAGCAGTCTGGCAAAATGTATTGGAAATGGATTCCTTCCACCCCACCTAGCGAGCCCAGGAAGGAGTAGTGTCTCTTGGGAGCTTGCCTGGGTATGAACTTGATCACAATCACCACCCACTGGGGGTGGGACTGGAGTTGCATAGTCATGAGTCTTGCCCCGCTTGCCTCAGTCGGAAGGTCCTGGACCAATCTTGTAAGCTCTTCTGTGTGACATAATGTACTTGCTCCAACTATGGTCTGGTTCCCGTTTCTGTATTCTGGCCTCTAACTATGATGTAATGATCTGCAAATCATGACTCCCACCCAGTCCTGCCCTAAATCCCTTATAAATCTCTGTATTCCAGCAAACCCTGAGGGACTATTATGACAGCTTGCTAGTGGGCTTCCTCATCAGGATGATGTCTCATTATTCTTTTCCCATTTCAAAACCCTCTGCCAGTAGTCCATTTTGACTCACAGGGACCCTGTGGGACAGGGCAGAGTTGCCTGACTCTTGGGAGTGGAAGAGCCATGCGCTTCTCCTGAGAAGCAGCGGGTGGTTCCAAATTGCTGACCTTGAGGTTAGCAACTTGACTTAATAAAAGTTCACTTTAAATTATGATTTACGTTTGGGGTTTCTCTTGTACTCGTAAAGCACTCTCAACATCAAATGATGCCAGCTAGGACTGCCCCCTTGTCGTCAGCTCTCACAGTATGCGTAGTCATGGGAAGTCTCCTTCAACAGGAGCCTGGCGATTTGAGCTCTCTGCCAACACTGCCACTAGCTAGCTGTATGACCCCGTAGATGTGATTTTCCCTTTACGAGCAGTCCATTTGTTCTTTTAGGAAAGCAGCCATTTAGCAGAACGTGGCATAAGGGACACTGTGGGGACTTCAGACTTAATTTTAAGACTCAGGGTGCACTGGTTTTGGTGGGGGCAGATGGAGGTCTCTGAGCTTATTATTTGTACTCTCCTCAGGTCTACAGCATTTCATTCCAAGTGCCACCTCCTAACCTCTCTCCAGTGGGAGCTCGCCAGCTGAGGCGCTGGGTTTTCATTGCACGTTAGGGATGCAAAGGCAAAGCCAGAGAGATGTCCCCAGGTCTCACCTGATCACAGACTGGGCGATTGTCATTCACATCACTGACTGCTACTTCCACCAGGGCCTGGGTGACAAAGAGCCCATCCGTGGCAGTGATATTGAGGAAGTACATGTCTTGTTCTTCTCTGTCGAGCGGTCTCTTCACGTAGACCTTCCACTCATTCTGCACCAGGCCCAGGGCAAACCTTCCTCTGGGGTTCCCTCCTGCCAAGAAAAAAAGGAGCCTTTGAAGATGTCCAACAAAATGCCTTGATCTCCAGCTAATGGAAGAGCTGGCGTGGGGTCATCTGGGTGTCCCTGAACTCTACCATTTCTGTTGCTGTCATTCTTTGTGCAACAAAGCATGATATTTATATGCTTGGCTTGTGTGGAAAGTAAAACAGCAACTTTCTACGAGAGTAAAACCCACTTAGAGAAGCTGGAGATGATCTCTTGTTTAGTTCCCCATAAGAACAATCAAATTCAAACTGTGAACAATCAATCGTCTTCTCGGGATGATACAATTGTCTTTCCACTTAGTCTCAAGAGAGGATGTAATACACCATAGCTCTTGTTACCAAGACAGTGTCATTAGCTGTTGATTATGCAATCAAGGAAAGGCAGTCAGTGCTATTGAGGAACCTCTAAATGAAGGCTTTATCCTCCAGCTGCGCTCTCCTTAGAAGGGCTGGAGTGTGGGGAAGAAAAGTTTACATTGCAGAGGAAGACCTATTAGTATTAAATAGCCCTAACGAGGGGTCATTTAAGGAGCAACTCACAGATGAGCACTGCAATTAGATCAAATTTACCGGCACAAAGCCGGGGAAAGGGGAAGAGAAACAGGAGTTAGGGGACCAGCGTTCTTCTGATGTTCCCACCCGGGGTGACCGGCAGTGTGACTTTTCCCCATCATTACGCTACAGGGGACAAAAGCAGCTCAGGGAACAAGAAGGAAGGGGAAGGAGGGAACTGCCTCGGCTTTCTAATTCCTAAGAGTGTCTTGATGTCACTTCAGATTCTGAGGAAGACTGGACCACACAGCGGGCAGGCAGCCAGGCATCACATGTGCTCACCAGCATTTCATTGATGTCTACAGGCAACAGGTACCTATTGCCTTTTCCAGACCAAGTGCGTTCTGGGTAGTAGCACTGGACAGAATGGATTGCAATCCCTGCAGTGGTGGTGGAGCTCACATTTAGTGTGGAATGCAGACAGCACATTTCCTTGTAACAACGAAAGCATATTGAATTGCGGATTGGTGACTTTACTGACAAGAGAGAGTCATCTTACCATCTTAACAATGAATCTTACAGGAACAAACAAGACTATGGTTCTTCTGGAGGTATGGAGCGGTGAGAAACCCTTTTAGTTCGTCTGGAATCTAGACTTCTGGATGCATGGCTTGGGGTAACCTACTCAGGACATTTACCAGTAGGTCCTTTTTAAAAAAAATCATTTTATATTAGGGGCTCATACAACTCTTATCACAATCCATACATACAAATCAATTGTGTAAAGTATATTTGTACATTCATTGCCCTCATCGTTCTCAAAGCATTTCCTCTCCACTTAAGCCCCCAGCATTAAGTCCTCATTTTCCCCTCCCTCCCCGCTCCCCACTCCCTCATTAGCCCTTGATAATTTGTAAATTGTTATTTTGTCATATCTTGCCCTGTCCGACGTCTCCCTTCAGCCACTTTTTGTTGTCCGTTCCCCAGGGAGAAGGTCACATACAGTTCCTTGTAATCGGTTCCCTCTTTCCAACCCACTCTCCCTCTACCGTCCCAGTATCGCCACTCACACCACTGGTCCTGAAGGGATCATCTGCCCTGGATTCCCTGTATTTCCAGTTCCTATCTGTACCAGTGTACATCCTCTGGTCTGGCCAGACTTGCAAGGTAGAATTCGGATCATGATAGTGGGGGCAGGGAGGAAGCATTTAGGAACTAGAGGAAAGTTGTATGTTTCATCGTTGCTGCATCACACCCTGACTGGCTCGTCTCCTCCCCGAGACCCCTCTGCAAGGGGATCTCCAGTGGCCTACTAATGGGCTTTGGGTCTCCACTCTGCACTCCCCCCATCATTCACTATGTTTTTTGTTCTGATGATGCCTTATACCTGATCCCTTCGGCACCTCGTGATCACATAGGCTGGTGTGCTTCTTCCATGTGGGCTTTGTTGCTAGCCTGGCACCATCAGCTTTCTTCGCCACATTTGCTTATGCACCGATTTGTCTTCAGTGACCTCCAGCAAAGCTGTGTAGTTGTCAGTTCCTACTGATCATGATTTCGTGTACGACAGAAGGCAACAGGTCCGGACCTGTGCTATCCTCAGAATTGGTCTTATATGTATAATGTAGTCAACCATGTCCCTCCATCTTATTGACAGTTTTCCTTTTTTTAGCTGCTCTACTACTTTACCAAGCATGATGTCCTTCTCCAGGGACTGGTCTCTCTTTAGAGCATGTCCAAAGTATATGAGATGAAGTGTCACCATCCTTGCCTCTGAGGAGCATTCTGGCTGTTCTATATATGATGTATTTGTTTATCTGTCCCACTTTAGGCTAGGGTATAGAATAGTGGTCCTCAACCTTCCTAATGCCATGACCCTTTCATATAGTTCCTCATGTTGTGGTGTCCCCCAGCCATCGGAATTGTGTATTTTCCGATGGTCTTAGGCGACCCCTGTGAAAAGGTTGTTCAACCCGCAAAGGGGTCGCGACCCACAGGTTGAGAACTGCTGCTAAGAGGGCTACAGTGAGCATGGGTGTTCAAGTGTCTGTTTGAGACCCTGAGCTCAGTTCTTTTGTATATCTCTAGGAGCAGAATGGCTGGACCATATGCTTCACTTTCTTTAGGAACCACCAAATTGCTCTCCACCACGGCTGTGCCATTTTCCACTCTGGGATGGAGACATCTTTTCACCCTTGTTTCTTTCATGTGATCTTTTCCAGATCTGAGAGAAAAATCAAATGGTTTGATCCCAGTCACTTTCGCTGACAAGTTTCTTCTATATAACCTGGTTTCACTGTCCTCTCCCAAAAGCGTGTCTTCACCAGACTTTTGGTTTGGCACTGACTTATTGGAATGGTTGTCTACTCAGAATAAATATACTTGATCACACTAATTCCTGGGTTCTCTGCGGGAGTTGGTTCTTTACAGCGGGAAGGAGCGCACGCTGGATGAGGAAGCCTGGAAGGGGAGTCAGTCCAAGGACATGGGCAACCAGGAGACTGTGGGCCATCAAGCTGACTTTCAACTCAGAGTCGCCCCAGAATTACTCACTAGGGTTTCCTAGGCTATACTTTTCATGGAGCACATGGCCTCTTTGTGTTCTCTCTCTCTGAGCCACTGGGTGGAATCAAACCACCTACCTTGTAGTGAGCAGCCAACCACCTAACCATTGTGCCACCAGGACTGAGTAATTATGGGATAAGCAGAACCATATGGACACATGCACAATTCAACAGAGGCGCCGGTTACACAGTCCTCTGGCACAGTGGCTCTCGACTAGGAGAGACTTTTGTCCCCAGGGGTCTTTGGCAAAATTGGTAGATATTTTTTATTGTTATATTGATGGGGGTGGGGGTGGAAGGTGCTACTGGAAGCAAGCAAAAATGCTGCTGCTAAACACTGTACTGTTAGCAGGGCAGACCTCCAGCAACAAAGAATTAGTCAGCCCCAATAGTCAGCAGTGTCAGGGTTGAGAAATGTGCTCTGGTGAGGCCCAGGGTCCTCCTGGGATATCACTTTCCCCCAACACTGGCAAGGATTCAGCTATGCTTTTCTTGAATATTATTTCAGCATGAACAAATTTAACCTCTCTATTAAATGCTTTCAGTGGAAGCCCACACGGTTCTTTTGTTAAATAATATGATTAATGGTCCTTTGTTCATCTGAGGCAGCATAGCCAAGTTGTGTTACATCAAGAGCAAAAGTTAAATCTAATTAAAATCAGTTGGTGGTTGGCACAGCTAATAGTCACCGTAGCTTTAAGCTACTCTGTCCTCGTTACTTTGGTAAAGTTGATGGGAGGGCCCCTTTAAATCATTCATTGAGAATTCATAGACGATGGATAGACAATTTAGGCTGACTATTTAACGACTCCTCCAAACAGCAAAGTACCCCTTAGAATGGCTGTGAAGCTTTGGCTCAGAAACAGAACACAAATAAATCAAAGGGAAGCTTTCCTCCTCTTTCCTCCCTTAGCACCCTCCTCCGGGTCTTCACTGCAGAAGGATGCACTGTCATGACAAAGCAATGAAAGCATCGAAGAAAACATAAATGCAAAAAAAAAAAAATATTCAAGCAGAAAACACTATGAAAAAATAAGGGGATGGATAAACACCGAGAAGAAGGGTAGCAGTCTCACGCATTGAGACACGTATGCTCCGCTGCGAAGCTTATTCTGCAGTGATTAATTAACTTTTCCACTAACACACTTAAGCAGATTCTGTGTCCTAAGGGCATTCTAATTAATTCATTTTTCACTCTGAATAATGTCGTTTTTCTAAAGGGAAGCCACCTGACTACAAGTATTGATGGAGACTTTAAAATCTTTTGGCACTTTGCTTATGCTCTGCCTCTGGATGCCACAATATCATAATATTAGCTTTAACCCCCGCTAATGGTTCTTTAGGAACCATCAACCCACTCCTTTTTGGCAGTTGAAGGCCAATTGCCCTGGGGAAGGATACCCTTTCTCCACTCAATCATGGAATTGTTGGCCGAGCCCAAAGGTGGCACCTTCGGTGTACTCTTGGTGCTACATCTGTCTAGCTTGGCTCCCCTATTGAACTGCTACTGATTATTCTAAGAAGCAGCAAAGACCAGAAAACCAGAGTATTATTCTTGTCAAAGAAATACCCCTTGATATGGAGTTGAATTAAGAATTGACCAACGAAAGATCACACTTGGCCTTCTAATTTGTTTATGCGTGTGCACTGCTAATATGATTATTACCAGCATTCACTAGTCAGTGAAAGTGATTGGGATCAAACCACTTGGATTTTCTCTTTGCCCTGGAAAAGATCAGTCGAAAGAAACGTGGTTAAGAAGATGTCTCCGTCCCAGAGTGGAAAACGGCGCAGCCGTGGTGGAGAACAATTCGGTGGTTCCTCAAGACAGTGAAGCATCGGGTCCAGCGATTCTGCTCCTAGGGACATACTCCAAAGAACTGAGCTCGGAGTCTCAAGCAGACACTTGAACACCCATGCTCACGAGTCAAAAGAAGGAAACAACAACAGATGTTTGGATAAACCAAATGTGGTACCCAAATGGAGTATTAGTCCACGACAAAGAGGATCATCCATCACATGGATGAAGCTTGGAAACAGTATGTTATATACAATAAGCCAGACACAAAAGGTCAAAAAATGCACGATTCTATTTACTTTAGATATCTGCAATAGGTAAATCCATACACACACGCACGCACATGCATGCACAAGATTAGTGGCTGTCAAAGGGGGAGTGGGGAATCTCCCACCAAAAGAAACCTACTGCCAAAAGAGTTATCTTCATTTTTTTCAACTGAGATAGTCTTGGGACTCATCATAAAAATGATAACAAAAGCCACAAGGACAAATCAATGATCATCGAATTAAAGTTGCTGGCAACACTGAAAACCTGAGATCACTCAGAAACCTATCCACAGTCCCAGAGAGCTTCAGTTTTCTAGGTTCAAGTCATCTTGCACCTCTCTGGCTCCGATACGCTGCCACCTCCCCCCCCCCCTTTTTTTTTTAAAGAAAGCTGTGTGCATGGTTAAAACGATGGGAAGTGGGACTTACCTGTAATATGGTAGCTCACTTGTCGATTAATGTCAGAAGTATCTCGGTCCCATGTGCTAAGGACGGCTACTACTTCCCCCGGGGGATCGCTCTCCTTCACGTTCCCTCGGTACACCTCGTGGGCAAAGACGGGGGCATTGTCATTTATATCTGTCACCCTGACAGAGACCAACGCCGTGGAAGAAAGGGAGAAGGCTTCTCCAAGGTCGGAGGCTACCACAGAGAAGGTGAATGTGGAATCGGTCTCATGATCCAGGTCTTTCAAGGTGCTGATCCATCCTGTGTTGCTGTCAATATTGAATGCTTCCATGACCTTCTCAGGCTGGGACTCAGAGTGGAGGGAGTAAGTGACCTGTCCATTGGCTCCCCAGTCCACATCGAGAGCTCTCACCTGCGTGAGTTTGGTACCCACAGGCATCCCTTCCATGATGATGGTCTCGTAGCTTGCCGTTTCAAAAACTGGCTTGTTGTCATTCAAATCCAAGACCTTGATATCTACATCCACAGTAAACACAATGTCGACCTTGTCCAGTGGGACGGTGGCTGCTATTTTAAAGTGGAACGCAGGGCTGAGTTCATGATCCAGGCGCTTGTCAAGCTTGATAGTGCCTGTCTCCTGTTCTATGATGAAGACCCCCCCTTTGTTGTTCTCTGGCCGTTCCCCATTAACTGTGCTAAACTGGACAGTCTGACTGGGCAGGATCCGCAGAGTGTCCACCGTGCTGCCAATGGCGGTGTCCTCTGCAATGGCAAAGGAATACTGAGACTGGGTGAAGGAAGGCAGGAACGTCTCAGGAGGCAAGACGTGGATATAAACAGGAATGAGGGAGTGCTTTACTGGAATGCCCCCGTCCACGGCTTTGACGAAGAACGAGAGCACGGTGTTTTTCAGCAGGTTAAAGTTGCCCTTCGTGACCATCCAGCCATTGTCGGGGTCGATCTCCAGGAGGTCAGCCACGGAGACGGAGGCCTCACTATACAAAGAGTAAGTGATTCTTGAATTGGCTCCATCATCGGGATCCATGGCTTGAACCTGGGTGACCAGATGGCCTCTCCCAACATCTGCCCGGACACTGGCTCTATATTCCACAGTCAGGAACTGGGGAGCGTTGTCATTTTCATCCGCAACGATCACCCTCACAGTACAGAAGGTGGTTCTTCCTCCGCCGTCAAGAGCCCTCAAGAAAATGCTGATGTCTCCTTCCGAAGGGTTCTCCCTGTCCAGCCTCTCTGTGGTGATGACCTGCCCATTGCTGTCTATGAGGAAGCGGTCCTTGGCGAAGTCATTGATGATGGTGTAGCTGATCTGTCCATAGGTCCCGGGATCCCCGTCGGTGGCTCGAACCTGAATTACTTTTGTCCCAACAGCTGCATTCTCCCTCACCTCAGCCACGTATGTGCTCTGTGAAAAAGCAGGGCTGTATAAATTGGCCCCAAGTACCCTGATATGCACCTGTGCGGTGCTGGTGAACAGCCCATCCGAGACGGACACATTCAGACTGTACCGAGGCTCCATCCGCTGCTTCCGGTGGTTGGACAGGGTGATGACTCCAGTCTTGCTGTCCATTAGGAAGCTTGTCCGGTCATTCCCAGAGAGAATGCTATATTCCAACCGGTCAAAATCAGAGCTGTCTGCATCCGAGGCTTGCACACAGGTCACAAAGTGGCCCCGGGGGGCTAGTTCACTCACATATGACTCATAAATGAGCTGATTAAAAATAGGGGGGTTGTCATTGACGTCGGAGATGTAGATATGAACCAGGACCTCACTGCTCAGTGACGGGAAGCTACTATCTGCCGCTCTGACTTTCAGCGTGCAGTGTTGTACTAACTCATGGTCCAGCAGACGAGCGGTCAGGATCAGGCCACTTGCACTGTCTATGTGAAAATACTCAGTGCTGTTGTCAGAGTCCTGGACAATCTGATAGTGAACCAGCTTATTATTTTCTGAGTCTGCGTCACTCGAGACAACTTGTAAAACAGGTGTCCCAATGAGGGAAGCCTCTGACAATGTTGTATTGTATATGGGTTGATCAAAGATAGGGGGGTTGTCATTTACATCATTAACCAGCAAATCAACAGTAACTTCAGCTCTGGCACCAGTAAGGGCATCGCTGGCTCTTACTGTCAACTTGTAAGCAGATGTAATTTCATAATCCAAAGGGCTAATAACTTTCAGGACTCCAGTATCAAAGTCAATATGAAATTGTTGGTAAGGATCCCCATCAATAATGATATAAATGATTCCTTGACCTTCTGGGCTGGTGGCATTGATGCTTAGAATGGGGGTGTCCATTCTGATGTCTTCGTTGACGGATGCGGTATAAAAGGGCTTATCAAACACAGGCATTGCTTTGTTGACGATAGTTATGGGAAGTTCCACAGATGCAGACAAAGAGGGCTTCCCACCATCTCTGGCTAGGATGGTGACTCCATACTCAATGTTGGACAAATCAGAGTTGAATGCTTCCTTTAAAACAACATTCCCTGAATTAGGATTGATTTCAAAGTGGCCATAGTCATCCTGTAAGACGTAGGTCACTTCCCCGTTTGCACCTTTATCTTTGTCAATGGCTGTCACCTGGTAAATCAGAGTCCCAGGCTCAGCATCAACTTGCACAGCAGCATAGTAAGGGAGACCCACGAAGACCGGAGCATTGTCATTTATGTCTTCAATGTTAACCCTGACCACCACCCTAGCCACACGCAGGTGGTCTAGCTCACGACTGGCTTCCACCACTAGCTCATATAACTCTTGCTCTTCACGGTCAAAGGGGACTCCGGTGGTCTGAATGACCCCTGAGGTAGATTTTATCTTGAATTTATTTCCTGGGTTCAAGATACTATATTTTAAGGGTTCATTAAGGCGATTTCCAACTGCATTGACAATGGCAACTTTGGTTATATTAGTGCTGTTCTCTGAGATTGAAGTGGAGTAAACATTTTGCGTAAAGTGGAGGCCACTGTCCATGGCTTCCTTCACCATGATGGTGACCATGGCTGTACTCTGGAACTTTCCATCCGACACTGTAACGATCAGCATGTAGTGATCTTTGGAGAGGTTGTTGTTGTTTATGGTGAGCACACCACTGTTTGAGTCCATTAAGAAATGTTCCAAGCTGCCTTCCTTTAGGCTGTAAGTCAGTTCTGGAGGCACCTCGGAGTCCGGGTCGGTGGCGCTGACTTTCAGAACTTCCACTCCCACGTAGGTAGGCAGAAGTAAGACAGTCTCGAACACAGTCTGTGTGAACACAGGTGGGTTATCATTCACATCTGTCACCTCAATGTTAACTTCAACGGGACTCTCTGCAGTCAGCTGGGGGCTACCGCTGTCCCGTACATGTACATGAAAATGGAAATGGGCAATGGTTTCATGATCCAGATTGGCGATTGTCCTGATGGCGCCTGTACTGGAGTCCACCGTGAAGAACTTCTTGGCTGTGGACTCCACAATCTGATACACCAGCAAAGCATTCCGGTTGCTGTCCGCATCGGTGGCTCGAATCACCAGAGGGCTGTTGTCTGCACTCCTGACAATGCTATTGACTGGGGCAGCCTCACTTAGGCTGCCTGAGTATTGTGAAAAGAGAAACACTGGGGCGTTATCGTTTTCATCAACAATCTGAACATTGACGGTGGCATTAGAAGCCATCCCTGCCATGTTCGTGGCCTGCACGATGAGCTGGTAAAAGGAAATGCGTTCGTAGTCCAGTGCCTTCTGAGTAGTGACAACGCCAGAGTATGGATTGATGGTGAATATCCCATCAGGGTTGCCATCTTTGACTTCATAAATGAGGGTAGATTGGCTGATGGCCGAGATGAGAACGACTGATGTTCCAATGTCAACATTTTCATTTACTTCTGCTTGGTAGTCTTTGTGTGTGAACTTGGGGTGAGAATTATCAGACATGGTGACAGAAATCCGTACGATGGCAGTGGCAGACATTGGTGGCGAACCCTGGTCTGTGACTTTCACTGACAGGACAAACTGACTCATTGTAGTCATGTCTGGTTCTTTGGAAACAGTGATAATGCCCAGGATGGGTTCAATCTTAAATGTGTTTCTAGTGTTCCCTGAAAACAGAAATTGGGGGGGGGGGGGAGAAATGAGTTAGAAATGGTCCATCAAGATTTATTTTTGATGGTTAATTATTGAAAAATTTAAAGCACTTAATTGAACTCATCCCATTGTTGAAAAGCAATGTTGACAAGCTTTAGAGTTCCTGTGTGGCACAAACAGTTCAGTACTTGGCTGCTAGCTGAAAGACTGACATTCAAACGCACCCAGAGGTATCTCAAAGACAGGTCAGGATATCTCTTTATGAAAGGTCACTGCCTCGAGAGCCCGTGGAGCACAATTTACTCTGCACGGACAGGGCAGCCACCAGTATGGTCATCTTGACCACAACTAGCCACAGCCGCTTCATTACTTGGGTTTGCAAGAAGAAATACCACCACCACCACCAGCAGCAGCACAGCACAGCACTACGAATGGGCAGAACATGAAAGTTAGAAAATAAGGCGTTTGTAGAAGAGACTTTTCAACTAAGAATGTGCAGTGCTTCCACCTTCCCGGTCCAGGAGAAGAGGAGCAGATGGTGCTGGGATGCGCTGAGGCCATGGGCATAAGGTGCGTTCATGCCTCTAAGCCCGCGCCCCTGGGCTCCGTATACAGAGAGAGAAGGCGGAAGGAATAGTGTCCGAACACTATCGTGTAGTTACTTGGTTCCAGATTGTCCCAAAGGCAAACATCCTACCCAGAATTGGTACTTTCTCATGCTATCCCAACGTTTTTGGAGATCATCCAAAATACTATTTTGGTGACAGTGGTTTTGTTCAGGCAAACTCTTCCTAAGTGACCATTTGCCCAGTCTGTGGTGAAGATTCTTCCTGACTACCTGTCTGCTCTTCTCTCTTCCTCTAGCTCTTTCCCAAGTCCTGGCTCCCTGTCAACAAATACATGGGTAACAAAGAAACGAAATTAGCTCTAAACATTATAGGGCAGTTGCTCCAACTCCAAAGTATTCAAGGAGTTCCCGGTGAGGTAGGAAGTTACTGGTCATCTGAACCAGCACTAATTCCAACAACTCCAAGGTAGAACCCATCGGAAAACGGGAAGCGAGAGTCCCCACCAGCTTGGCGGATCTAGAGCGGGAAGAGCCTTAATCCACGATACTGCAGACGTCTCGAAGGTTGCCTCTGGCAGGTCAGGGGTCAGCGGTCTGGGATTGCTGAGGAGGACTGACAGAAGAGAGTGGAAATATGGAACAGGGACTCAAGGAATGTCAAGAAGGTAGACGGTGGCCCCGAGCTCAGAAAGAATGGACAGTGTGAGCAAGCAAATCTCATCACGTGCCTTTTGGGGTGTCTCATCAGGCATTCTGCTGTTTCTGTGAGAATACACACATTTGTGTGTCTGGATTCGTTTGAGTAAAAGAAATATGCATCTTGGTTATTCAGCCATGTCTGTAGTTTTCCTGCTCCTTGGAGCAGACCTATAGTTGACTTAAATTTCATGAAGATAATTATTTAAGTATAATCATTTATACTTGACTGATTTAAAAATAAGTAAGATAGGCTCCAGGATTTATAGGACAGTTATATAATGTCTATTAAAATACACAGGAAATACATCTTCTTACTATGTTTATTATATAACATACAATATAATATGATACAATATACTTACTATGTATAGTAAGTTTTCCCATGTCTAAAAAAGTCATGGTCATAAGAAATTTCAATTAAACTCTTGCTTATTTATAAAAAGGGAAGCATATTCCATATGAAGGTCAAATAAGAATCCAGCCCCCAAAGGTACATATTTACTAATGCCACATTTGATATCACCATGAGTTTATGCTTGGCTACCTAAACATGGATACTTTGGAATCACAAACGTAAGACATTCAATGATGCCAGGGGCACGGTTTTCAACTTTTCAACTGATGGAACCATGGACTTATTTGAGAGCAACATTTGGTACACAGAGCTTCACAAGGAGGGAGGCATCATTGCTCTTCAACATCTCAGGGGAATTTATGGTGAAGTGACACCCGAGTCATGGCCACCTTCCAGTGATGGCATCGGAATGATGAATGCTCACAGACAAGCTTCTCTGTGTGCCCTGGCTAAGGTGTCCTTTCACAATGCAGGCTCAGCACATTTCATCGGACCCAGAAAGATACACATGACAAGGAGAGCCAGCTTTGACCTAGAGTAGAACTTCCTAAGCTGGTGGCCCCATCAGCACTGACTTGCTGTTTATAGCCCTGCCCAATGCTCTGCTCTTTCCCTTTCCACCCTACTCTGATATATTTCCTTAGGAATTCCTTCCTCTGTATCCCTTGCTGCTCCACTGAATCCTTGGAATCTAACCTGGATTTTTTCCCCCTCAGAATCTTGGGCTGATTATTTACTTTTGACAATTGAAAAAAAGGCTATACCTATGCTACATATCACTGTTCAATAAATATTTGTAGAATTATTGAAAAGAAAACTGTGTCTAACTTTTAAAAAATTCTCTAGCTGTATGCATCACACACATACACACACACACACACATCCTCCTTTGAACTCAACTCTTACTGCTGGTATCTCCTCTATTGCCCTGACTCAGCACCACTAGGAGCTACCACTGGCACCCAGCATCACAGCCAAATGAAATATAAGACCTGAAGCCCTGACTCAAAGTCTGCCTTGGTTCATCAGGCCACAATGAAAAGCTTCAGCAGTTACTATAGAAATCAGGCAAGGGATAAGAAATGTATGGTCTACCAATAAACCAAGTCAAATCTTGCTTATCTAAGGTCAGAGAGAGAACTAAATAAAATGTGCACTTTCCACCATGAATTCTCATTTGTTTCAAAGTGCTGAAGCTTCTGGGATGACCATCATCTGGGAAGCAACTGTCTGCCTGTGAGATCAGTCTGTGTCTAATGTAGATTTGCCCAGGAAGGGACCCAAGCCATCTGAGATTTATTGTGCACACTGTAATTCTGTTTGGCTTCTTACACATGCAATCAAAGGCCATTTTTGAGATACCAATCTTTCTGTGGTTTTAGGAAGTTCCCATTTTCTATATAAAAGATGTTTTAAGGAAACAACTCTTCTCTTTAGTTTTAGCCAATTTTTAAAGAAATTGAACTTCTCTGTGCACAGTGCAGAGAAAAGATAGACAGTCTTTTCTGCCAGATGGTAAGTTATATTATACTGTGAGAACCTCCAAATTGGTTGGAAAATCATCTGGCTATCTAAGGGGAATGTGAGTGGTAGTCTTGGTGAGAAGTCTGAAAAGCAGATAGACACATGGTCCAAGGTTTGGAGAGTATTCAGAAATAAGGAAGGTCAAAATCAAACTCTCTAGCTGATCAATAACAATGACGTAAAGCAATGTATAGGCATGAGCACCTATGGGGCTAAGAAAAACAAAAGCGCAGAACCGAGCTTGGGAAAAACATAAAGAGGTGTTCATTTCAGAGACATTTCTAGGATGTTGAATGTTCATTTTATTTAAAAGATGTTTCTCCATGTGATTTGTGGAGTCAAATGATCAAGAGTTATATAACTCAATTAAAAAAAAAAAGTCCGGTGACAACCCAGAGATGCACAATAGCATTTCAAAGGCTGCACTACTGGTCCGGCTTTGGACAAGAAGGGAAGTCTGTGAGCACTAGGGAAGGAGATGGGAGGATTAGCTTGGGCCGCCTGATTCTTAGGAAGCACCGTCATTTGTGTGCGTGTGGGTTGCTGTTGTGAAGGGCTTAGCACAGACCCTCGCACAATGTGGGTTCCGAATACAGGAAACATTTTCAGATTATCATGCGATGCAAGGAAAAAGTTAACATTTTGTTGGCTTTGACTTTTCTAATACTTTTTTAGCCCCAAACTGTCACTCTAGCATTCCTATTTTAATTCAACCACTCACAAAAATGCTGCACATTTAAATCAAGGGAAAGGAGTCTTCTCAGTGCTGGTATGAGAGGAGACAGCATTTGGCATACAGTACGACAGCCGTAATGTTGCAGAACATTTTGAAAATGTGTGGCTTGAATATTCAACAAAGGCGGAACAGGAGAAGGGAAAATAGAGCTAATAAAGGATTTATGTCATTTTTAGGTTCACATTCGCAGCCCTCGCTTGAACATTTATCTCTTCTGTCAGATTTCTACCCCCCAGGTGACAATCTTTAACACATTGTGTAAATTATGGTCTTGCCTTATAGAGATAACTTTTGTTTTTCCTTTTTAATCTCAAATTTAACAAATATGAGAGCCTGTACTTAGGTGACAAGTTAGGCAGGCAGCTCACCTACGGACAAGTAAACAAAGGCAGGTGTGCTTCCAGTCACAAAATAGCCTGACAGTTACTGATGGGAAGCTTGGGCTATTTTAGTCTGAGGACATGGGTTGCTGACCTACAGGTAAAAGCCACTGAGGATATGACAAATTTCTTTTCCCTTCTCCATCCCAGAAAAATTGGAGCTTAAAGCAAAGAAGCAAACTCTTTCCTTGCTGTCAAAGATGAGAAATGAATTGCTGAGACACTAAGAACCTCATATACCCTCATCATACAAACAGAGTGGTCACTTGGGCCAAGAAATGCATTTGGAGACACTCCAATGGTCACTCTCGGAATTTTACATGGTGATAAATCCTGCTGAGGGTCGGAAGCCAGGCATTGCCCTGAAATCCCTGCGGAGAACCAGCTCTCACCTGCTTCTATGGTATATATGAGCTCTGCGTTTTCCCCCTTGTCTTTGTCCAGTGCCGTCACCTGCAGAACAGCGGATCCCAAAGCAGCCGATTCAAACACGGAGGCTTCATACAGTGGGTTGGTAAAATAAGGGCTGTGGTCATTGGCATCTTCCACATTCACAATGACACGGGCCAAGTTCCTTCGATAAGGAAACTCCTGATCTCTGACCTTTAGGTAAAACACAAGAAGCAGTAGGACTGACATCTTACATGGCAACAAGCACCCATGGCGTGTGTGCAGCGAGAACACAATGAGATAATGCCTGCTAAGTGCTGGACCCAGCTTCTGGCAGAGGGCAGGTACTTTATAAATGGCAGTGCTATCAGCTCGGGAAGCTGATAGTGTGCTAAGCAAGAACAGGCACCACAACACACTTTGGGCTCAGCCGCTTTGCAAGGCCCTAAGAATGTTCCGTCTGTGCTTGTGGAGCTGGTAGCAGGACTTCCCTCTCCCTCCCCTCATACAGCCCCTCTCCCCATTATTTGTCTATGTGCAGCAGCTAATGGGATGGTAATGGAGGCTGGTGGAAAGGTGAAATGAAAGAAGGGATAAGCATTGTCAAGCATTGTCATTCTTTCATTCAACCAACATTGATTGCCACTGAACTGAAGCATTGCTGGTCCCATGGTGGAGACCCAAGTTCAATTTCTTGTCAGTGTCCTACCTTGGCAGCCACTGCTTGGTTGTCACTAGTGGCTTTTGTGTTGCTGAATGCTGACCAAGTTTCAGCGAAACTTCCAGACTAAGAAGAACTAGGGGGAAATGGCCTGGTGATTGGCTTGTGAACACCAGCCATTGAGAACATTATCAAGCATAGTTCCATTCTGACCCACATAAGGCTACCATGAGTTGGAATTTACTCAATGACAACATAAAAAAATATATACACATATATTATCTCTCAAGTCAAGGGCTTGACTCTGGCAGTTAAGAAGTGAAGTAGACAATCAGTTGCTACCCTCAAGGAACCTGAGTTGAATGATGAATACCAAGTACATAGTCAGGTGTACTGCAAAATGAGAGTTGCCAGGATGGGACAGATGCAGGACATGCTGGGAGTGAGCAGTAAGAAGACCCCAACCTAGCATTTGGCCTCTTGGGAGAAGTAACATGGTAGGCACAAGTGGTAAAATGGGGGAGTGGTTTGTGTGGGGCATGTATTTCAAGCCAGAAGAAGCAAGATACAAAGACTCTGATGTGAGAGAGGATGCTGGCCAGCAGGAATATAAACAAGCTCTCATTTCCTAACATGTGAAACCCTCCTTTGGATTTCAACAAAGATCCTCTCCCTTGATTTGCATATGGCAGGAGCTTGCAAACAATCGATTGTGTACCTCAAACTGCATGCTTTTGCTACAATTTGATTTAGCATTAATTATGTGTGTGCTTTTGGTTCGCTCAATTTTGGACTCTGTAACTTCAGAGAGATGAGAAGAAATTAGAAAATATACTGAGAAGAGGCATCAAAGAGAAAGGAGTTTGCAGAAATAGTACCTAGGAGGAATGATCAAACTGAATAAAATGGCTTAGCTTGGAGAAAAGTCACATAAAGGAGTTTTCTCTAAATATTCAATTACACAAATGATAAATGGTAGAGGGTGGCTGAGCTGAGTTCTGTGTTTGTGAAGGGAAAGAGGAACAGAAATGACTTGAGGAATTGTGTGAATGGAGTTAGTTACCAGCACAAAATTTCTACCCAGAGGAAAGCGCATGCAGAAGTGACAGAGTGATGTGCAGAACATTCCTGTGTGTAGACTGGTCTGCCTCATCCGAGTCAAATTCTTTATTTTGTGATTACTGAAATCTAGGTCTGTTATAACCGAATGGAAGCTCCACGGGTGACAGTAGGTACATGGAAACACTGGATGGATGGATGGATGGATGGATGAAGAGGCAGAGGGTTGAATTAGATGTTCTCTGTGAGTAACCACTGGTGTGCCCTGGAGTCTAAACAGGATTCATGGCACTCATGCTTTCTCTTGATCCCTGGTCTTAAGGAATGGAGTGGCATTCTGTTAGAAGGTGGCTATCTAGTGTCCATAGGGTTCTTAGTTGGTTAAAAGAACAGGCCATAAATAAACCCAGGATATCTCTTATTCATCTCCAATGTCTTATTATGCGAGATGTGAAAATTCTACTTTAAAAATAAAGCAACATCTCTGACATCATTTGGCAGAGCCGTAAATTCAAGTTCAGAAGGAACACAACTCTGCAGGTGCAGGTGTGCCCTGCACTCTGTGGCTTGTACCAGTATTTACTACTAGGACCAGTGCCAAGCCAGTAATAAATCAGTTCAAGGGCTGAGCATTGCATAGGTTGGGCAAATGATTACCCCTGGGATTAACTTCTCAAAGAACTCCTTTTAAACTTTTCTATAAAAATCTTCTGGATGCAAATCAAAACCAGATCCTGGAAAATTTATAGAAACATGGCCTATCCTTTGCCTTCCAACTCTGTCAGTGTCTCAGAAATCGTTACTGGGTAGCCACTGTCCACAGATGTTATCAAACATTTTATTCTTTTTTATTTAATTAAATACTTGTATTAGGGGTTCTTACATCTCTTATAACAAGCCACACAATCATCTATTGTGTCAAGCACATTTGTACACATGATGCCATCATCAAGAGCCCAAGTAGAAAGAAAATGCTTCAAACATTTTATTTTTAAGCAAAAATATAGTCATTATCTAACAAGGATTTTTCTCTGAAAAAAAAAAAAAAAAAAAGCAAAAATGAAGACAACTCAGCTGTGAAATGACTAGATTTACTGTGACCTACAAAAGTTAAAGGCCTTGCATATATGAAGGCGAAAGTGTGTGCTTAGAGTGGTTAATGATTCTGCCATAAGGGCAAATGAGCAGTTTGGTCCTACCATGATGTTGAGGATATGCTTGTCTTGGGCTTCATGGTCCAGCCGCTCGGTGGTGTACAGGACACCAGTGTTGGGGTCGATCCGGAATTTCCTCATGCTGATGGAGTCAATGCTACTGTGGACAGTGTAGCTCAGCTTGTGCTTCTCATCTCTATCTGTGGCTTCAATCTGCAATATCTCTGTATCTGGAAGCACATCCTCGGAAATTGTCACATCGTAATTTGGCTGAGAGAATTCTGGGCCATTATCATTATTATCCAGCACTTTGATGAATACCTATGGTTAAAAGAAGACAAGAAGGATGACTAATGCCAATGCACTCCTGTTAATAAAAGAGGTCGCCTCCCTCTTTCTCCCCCCCCATGTCTGTCCTTGGATCTTGGTGTCTAGCAAATACCCCAACAGGTAGGGAGGGATTTCTCTTGTAAGAAAAAAAAAAAAAGAAAGAAGAAGAAAGAAAGGCTCTATAATTAGAGGATTGGAATAAACCAGTAGTTCACATTAGCAGGAACATAAACTATGAGCTGATCAATATTCTCACTATTAATTGAACATTGAACAGCTGAGACTGTTACTCAGCGGTGATAATGCCACAGAATTATCTGAGAGACAAGGCAGAGAGCTCACAAGATGGCCTTAGTTTGCTAAGCTCCGATTATCACACATTCTTGTTATGGGCTTCTTACAGTGTTCTGAGAGGAAAGCCATGACAAGAAGGCCAAAGTAATAAAGACAAAACAGAGAAAAAGGAGCAATGAGCAAGAGGAGGCCTTCACTGAGCAGGCGGAGCTTCATCTGTAGTATGCACCATCAAAGTTCTCCTGCATGCAGAAGGTTTAGCAAAAGTACATGGCTAGCAAAACACATGGTACCACATGAAACTTCCAAAGGTTGGTGTGTTGGGCTGGTTGTTTAGAGAAACAAAACCAAGCATACTCATATATGTATTTGATAGAATGTTCTATCCATAAGTAACTGTGGCAGTTACATAATCTACTATCAACTTGAGGGAAGGGGTGGAGTCTAGCCTGTCAATCAGGTCATACCCAATGAGGCCTCAGTGTGGGCATGGCCTTCTCCTGAGGATTCTGGGAACTCCTGTCTTTTTTTCTGGAGGCAAGACATTCACTCTCCCTGTTGACAAGTCAGATAGAGCTATACTGATGGTGCCAGAGCCCTGGAGATGGAGGATTTCCATGGAGACCCACCAGTGCTGAGATGCTTCCACCGTCACTGGATCCACAAGACTTTCCACCCACTGGCCTATGATCTCCCTGCATGTGGCGTGATTGCATGTGTTGCATGAGTTTGAAGAGGAATTTATAGGCTGGTATCAGACATAAGAGTTAATATCAGACTTAATCTGGACTGGGCTGGGATGTTTTCTTAATCTACAATTACTCTTTGATATAAAGCTCTCCTTTACATATATAGGTCTATGATGTGTTTCTCTGGTCAACCTAGCCTAACAGAGTAACTTTATATTAATATGTCACTTTATATTAAGAAGGCCTCTAAGCCCAGTCCAACTCAAGTTCCTGGGTCTGATGTTGGTTGGAGCCCTCTTCAGACACATGTAGCTGCAGGCCGGTGACACAAAAGAGCAAATTGGAAGCAGGGAGACCACAGGCAGGTGGGTGCAGAGTCAAATACATTCAAGGTTGGTGGGAACCTGTTAGGGGATCAATATTTCCCGGGGTCAGTGGTCTACATGAGGTACCCCTGGAGGCAAACACAGAATCCAAGCACGCAGGAAGGTGATTGTCAAGAGAGAGAGGTTCCCAGTGTTGCTCTTACAAAGAGGCCACACCTGTATGAAGCTGTGACCAGATCGATAGATTGGAGTCTTCCCCTACACTTTTATCCAGATCCAAGTTAACATAAAACCTAACCAGCACAGTTAACTTTTAAAAAGCAGTTTGTTGTAATCATTATTAGGCATCTATAAAAGCAATGAGTACCACAAATCTTAAGCCAAATTGACAAAATAGAGTATTTTTTAAAAACTCTAGCATTTAAACAATTCTCTATACTGCTCACAGTTATCGCAACCAGGTTATTTCATGGATGATTACATTCTTGGTTCCCAACTGGGGAAGTGTGGCTGCCTAGAGGGCAGGAGGAAATGTCCAGAGACAGTGTCACAACTGGGGATGTAGTGTTCCTAGCATCTAGTAAATAAAATCCAGGGATGTTGCTAACAACTGCACAACGTACATGGCAGCTCTCTACCTCCCCCGCCCCCGGTGAAGTTTCATCTAGCTCCAAACGATGACCCAATTGGGAATTCCTGAATTCTAGCCTAGTCACTCTGCAGACATATATAGCTATTCTTCCAGTGATAGATGTATCATAGCTTATTCAGCTAGTCTTTTAATCAACTATTCATGTTCATTTAAGACATTTCCAATATTCGCTCTTAAAAACAGTATGCAATGAAGAGCCCTGTGCCCTTGTCTTTTCATATGTTTGGTAGTGTACTTTACAGTCACCCAAAGTGGAATCCACCACTTGTCTGTCAGTTTGTCATACTGCGGTGGCCAGCATGGCTATGCTGCTGGGAGCTATGTGACCAGCAGTTCAAATACAAGCAGGATCACAGGTTTCTATGGAGCTTCCAGACTAAAGTTGACAGGGAAGAAAGCCAAAGAATCGACTTTTGAAAACTAGCCAACGAAAATGCTATGAATCACAGCAGCCTATTGCCGCGTACACTATTAGAAGATGAGCTCCGTAGGTTGGCATGCAAAACAATGGAGGCCAACATAACAATAGCCTGGAGATGACAGGGGAACAGGCCCTGTCTAGCTTTGCTACGTCAGAGCTGACCCCAAAGCAATGAACAACAAAAGTGAATTGCTCAGTCAAAGGGCAAGAGCTTTGGTCTGTCCATATTCCTCTCCTCAGGAGCTTTCTGACATGTATAGGAGTAACTGTCTTCCCACCGCCTTGTCAAAGAGTGCTTGATAAATCTTTTGAATACTTTTGTGAATCTTAAAGATGAGAAATGGCATCTTCGTATAGTTGCAATTTGCATTTATTATTATGAGGGAGCTCAGCAATCTTTTCATATATTTAAGATCCATTTGCATTTCTTTTTTTCTTGTTAAATTGTCTATTTATATCAGCTCATTAGTCCATATTTGAAATGATCTTTTCCTTCTTCATGTTTGGAAGCTTTGTGATATGAATTTCAAATATGTTTTGGTTTTTATTTTTACCTTTTTGTCATGAAAAGGTTTTTACTTTATTTTCCTATTATTTACCTTATTATTAAGAGGCTTCAAAAAGTTCACGGAAAAATTGCATTATCAATTAATTCCATTTTTAATGAACTTTTGAAGCTCCTTTATATTTATATATGTTAAATAATAGTTTAGAACATCTTCCTCACCTCCGTTATATATTAAAACACCTGTAAAACTAACATTTGTGTATATTTCTTTTTCGTACACTTGCATTTTTAATTCGATTTGATTTTTTTTCTTGGTATTTTATATGAGGAATGAATCCAGTTTTAATTTTCCACATGGCTCTCCAGTTATCTCAATGCATGTAAATGGGCTAAAGGTAAATATATATACTTTAAAAAATAAATTCAGCATTTCAGTAAAGATGGAAACCTAGAAAGACAGTAAACAGTCACTCTTCAACAAAAAGATGTGGAGGAAAAACCTGGAGTCCTGAATTTCTTAAGAAACAAAACCCCCAAAACTAAGTGAGCTGAATACCACCAGAACAGGAGGCCACATTGGGGATTGAACCATCTCCAATGCCCCCACAACAACTCATTTAATGAGGACAAACTGAAAGTTTTCCTGTTGCTAATGGGAATTAGACAAGGATACCTTTTATCACCACTTTTCTTCAACATTTTTTTGGAAATCCTAGCCAGAGTTTTAGACAACAACAAAATCAAAGGCATCCAAATTGTCAAAGAAGACATCAAACTCTATTTGCTGATGATATGATTCTATAAGTAGAAAAGCCCAAAGACTTGACAAAAAAATGTTGGAACTAATTAAAAGATTCACAAACATGTTGGATTATGAGACTATCACACAAAAATCAATTGCATTTTTGTTTTCTAATGAAAAGAGTTCTGAAAATGAAAGCAAGACAATACTATTTACAGTATCTGCCTCAAAGAGGAAATACTTAGGAATCAACCTAATCAGAGAAACAAAAGATCTGTACAAAGAAAACCACAGAGCACTACTACAAGAAACAAGAAGAGACCTACATAAATGGAAGACTATGCTATGTTCATGGACAGGAAGACTTAACATTGTGAAAATGTCAATGCTACCCAAAGTGATGTGTAAATACAAAGCAATTTAGATCAAGATCCTAGCATCATTCTTTAAAGAGATAAAAAGAGAGGGAGAGAAACCTAATCCCCAACTTTATATGGAAAGAAGAGAGACCAGGATGGAAAGAACACTGCTGAAGAAGCAGAACAGGATAAGAGGCCCCCCACACACCAATCTCCAAATCTACTACATGGCTAAAATAACCCAAACATCCTGCTACTGGACAGCGAGAGAAACGGGACCAGGGGCCGAATAGAAAAATCTATAAATAAATCTGTCCATCCAAAGAACCAAAACACATTAAATGAAGAAGTAGTCTCCAACAAATGGTGCTGGGAAAATTGGATTTCCATTGCCAGAAGAATGAATCAGGATCCCTATTCCATATGCAAAAATAAACTCAAGATGGGTTAAAGACATCATCAGTAAAAACTTAGGGGTCCTATCAAGCATAATAGAATATGCAAACAGCAGAAGATGAAATAGATTATTGGAATCTCCTAAAAATAATAAACTTATAGGCATTAAAAATTTCATCAAAAGATTTAAAAAGGGAACGCCCCAATTTTGACAATTACATATAGGGAAAATATTCTTTAAGATCTATAAAACACTTCAACACCTCAACAAGAAATGATGAAAATACCGCTTATCAAAGATAACATTCAGGAAGTCAACAAACATGAAGAAAGCTCAAGATTACTAATCATCCAAAAAAATGCAAATCAAAACCACAATGAAATACCACCTCATGCCAAAACTAATAGTAAAGTCCCCAAGAGCAGAAAACAATTGATGCTAGAGGGGATTTTGATAGATTGAAACCCTAAAACACTCTGGCACTACTGTGAAACAATGGAAAGTAGTACAGTGCTTCATCAAACAACTGGGAATAGAAATCCATATGACTTAGTAATAGGGCAACTTGGCATATAGCCTACAGAAATAAAGAGCGTAGCACAA